GTATGGGTGACCACAGGGAACCGCCATGAAAGGGCGGCTGTGGACCCTGAGGCTGCCGCGGAGGCTCCAGGGGCCCTGACTCTTCTCTGGTCACTGAGGTCTGTGGCCAGGACAGACCTATCGCTGCCCCTCCCGGGCTACTTCTATCATCCTCTCATCTTTGTCTGCCCCTCCCCACCGTGTGATGTTGACACCCCTGGGCACTACAGTGCACCCACTGCCAAATCCCCCATATGTTGTATTAAGAAATAAGGATTTTCATAGCCTCGTTGGGTGCTTGTTTACTTCCTAGGGAAATAAAGAGGATGCTAGAAATCATCTTGCACAGTTCCCTCTTATTGTAGATATTGGTGTTAGGACCCCATGAAGAAACGTAACCTGCCGTGCAGCTCAGGGAGTTCATTCCTGAGCTGGGGTCTGGCACCCAGACCCCGCTGAGACCCCACTCTCTCCTCTGGATCTGGATGCCCCCTCCTCCTGCTTTCCTCCATTTCTCAGAGGGGCCTAACTTGACTTAGGGCTTTTTTGCTCTTGACTAATTGACCATGGGTTTATGTCGCCTAAGAAGGTATTAAGCTACGTCATGTCTTCTTAGCAGGCAATGCTCAGAGAAAACACCGCAATTGATAAAGACTTTGGGTTAGTGCAGGGATGGGGAACAGGCAGCGATTAAACATAAATGAAGAGCAGATCCCACCTCCTCACCAGGCCCGGCCCGGCTCTCTCATAGATTCTGGTCTGGGGTGTTCATCCAGGTTTTCTGTCTGGGCTCTGATCTGGATTCTGGTCTGAGTTATGGTCTGGGTTCTGGTCTAGGCTCTGGGTTCCCCTCTGGGTTCTGCCCCAGGTTCTGTCTGGGTTCTGGTCTAGGTTCTGAGTTCTGGTCTGGGTTCTATCTGTTCTTCCCTGGATTCTGGCCTGGGTCCTGTCTATGTTCTGGTCTCAGTTCTGGTCTTGGTTCTGTCTGGGTTCTGGTCTGGGCTCCACTGGGTTCTGTTTGGGTTCTGGTCTGAGTTCTGTCTAGGTTCTCTCTGGGTTCTGTCTGGGTTTTCATCTGTATTCTGGTCTGGGTTCTGTTCTGAGTTCTGGTCTAGGTTCTGTCTGGGTTCTGTCTGGCTTCTCATCTCAGTTCTGATCTGGGTTCTGTCCTGGTTCTGGTCTGGGTTCTGTCTGGGCTCTGAGTTCTAGTCTGGATTCTGTCAGCTCTGTCTGAGTTCTAGTCTGGGTTCTGTTTGGGTTCGGTTCTGGGTTCTGTCTGGGTTCAGGTCTGGTTCTGTCTCTGGGTTCTAGTCTGGGTTCTGTCTTTGGGTTCTGTCTGTGTTCTGGTCCAGGTTCTGCTCTGGCTGCTTTAAAGGCTGAACTTGGCACCCTCCTGGGGTTGGTGGTTACTCTGTGGCCCTGTCTCTGGGGTGACTTGTACTTATCCTCTGGACACTCACCATTCCAACCAGAAGAGCAGCATGGGATGAGCACCTGCCCACCCGTGTGACAAGAGTGGGCCAGGTCAGGGAGGCAGGCAGCATGCACATTACGCCAGGAACTGGGCTAAGCAGGACTCACAGGCAGGAAAGCAGGGTGGGGTGTTGGGATTGAGGTGGTCCTATCTCTGTTACAGTAGGGCATTCAGCTCCTGGCTGAGGCTCCCAAAATCTGTTACCAAATCCAAATCCAGCTGCCTGTACCCAAACAAAAAACAAACCCTAAAGCCAAATGGTTGGTGGAACATGAAGTCAGCACCATTTAGGAATAACCTGAGGAGCGGTGTTGGCCTGACCCATCCTCCCAGTAAACCTGAAGGAGAATTGCCAGACAAAGCCATCTCAGAGACTCAGATTTACCCAGGGGTTTTTTAAAGAAGGGGAAGAGGGAATGGAACATGGGAAATAAAAAGCAGGAGGGAGGGGGATGTGTAAGGGGCCATGTGCAAATTCTCACCAAGGATCCGTCTGGCTTCTGTTCTGTCCTTGACATTATCTTAGGGTCCCGCAGGATTCTGATTTGCTTCGGGGTGGAATCAGCATAGCTTTATTGATGTCTTCCTTGGTTTCCCAGGGTCTGGGTAGTGTGTGTCTTATGACAAGTTTGCAACTCCAGGCTGACTAGAAAACAACTTTACATTTACGTAAATAATGTCACCTCGACCCATAACCAAGGTTCAAATATCAAATAACCATGGAAAAAAAGGGAACTCAGAGAAATGCATGCTAAGAAAAAAACCTGTGTCTTTTAAATTTTTCCTAAAGCCCATGTGGTTTTAAGTTCCAACATGCTTTAGTCTTGCTCACTGAAACATCCTCGTTTTACATTTCTGTAAGGGGAACCAAATGCAGAGCTCTGCGGCAAAGGCTGATTTCATCACATCAACATGAGATGTGTGCTGGATACTCACAAACCCATCTACAGTGGGACACCTCCACCTGGTGGTTTCCGGGTCCCTCCACCTCATGCTGGGGTCTGCATTTCAATGTGTAGGTCTTCGCCGGTGTGGGCCCTGGCTGTCCCCCTACTAGAGTAGGACAGACGGAGCTTTGCTGGACTTCGGTTCCCATTGCCATTTCATTCCCAAGTGCATGCTTGTTTCTGTTTTCCAAAGAAAAACATGTTTCTAACACTAGAGCAGTGCAGCCCCAAGCTAATTTCTTGTATTCTCTGCTGCTGGAGCCCACCAGGGCTCACACAGAGAGGACCCTTTGCAGCCACAGACACAGGCACTCGCTGTCCCCCTAGAAGCCAGCTGTCAGCCTGGCAAGGTGAGGGTCGTCAGTTTAGCACAGGGGTCAGATCTACAATGCCAGTTTGCTGGTTCTAAATGCAGGGCCACCCCCCCCCCTTCCCTGCATACTCCATAGAAGAGCTGTGGGCTCCCAGCCTGCACTCCCTGCCTGTGCCTGGGATCCTGGCGGTGGGCATCATAGCTTGTGTGAGTGTCCTCTGTCCAGCACTGTCTACTGGTGTCCCAGTGTGGACCACGACTCCAAGGGCCAGCCCAAGGCACTGTCAAATCAGGGAGCCCTGAGGCTGTGCCCAAGCAAGACAATGGAGCTGCCCGGGACTGAGGGAAAAGGCCCTTTTCAGAACCCCAGTCAGGGCAGCTTGGGTTCCAAATTGCCAGTGATCATCTTGGTGACCCATCTGCATCCTCTGGCAGCTTCTAGCTTATGGGGGACCAGCTGGGGACCAGCTCAGAACCCTGAGAGAAAACAGCTTAAGGGAGGGTTTGGTCAGGAGTAACCCTCATGCCTACCAGAATAGACAAGAGGCGGTAATGAGCTAGTGCCAGTACTTAGCGCTCCTTTGGTGATGTCATGCAGGTCCCTGGGGGCCTGGCTCCCCAGAGAGCCTGGCCCCCCAGAGGTCCTGACCCCAAGCCACAGAGCTCCATATGAGGAGCCCACCTCACTGGGAGCGTGGCCCGGCAGAGGGAGGGCCTCTGCTGTCCCCAGGTCCTCCGTCTGTGGTCCCGTGAGGAGCAGCCGCGGCTGAGCATGCAGCCTGTTCTGTGTGCTGCAAGTTTGCTAGCCTGTTCTCACCCCAGTGCCAGCAGCTGGGTTCATCCGAAACTCTGCACTGCTCTTCCAACCCCATCCCTCTGTTCCTTTGCCCCCTTTTTCCCACTGGATGGCTTTCTTGGCCCCCCTGGGGTGACAGCCACTCTGCTGTCTGTAATGAGACAGCCACAAGCTTCCTGACCTCTGCCTCCGCTTCTCTCCAACTCCCTTAAACAAGGCCTCAGGGATTCCCCATCCAAATTAAGGTGGCTCCTGGTGACAGGCCAGAATGTTCAGGTACCCCCTCTGTGAGAAGCAGGAAGACGGCAGGGAGAAATCCCCCCAGGACTGGGGCTCTCGCAAACATGCAGTTCTGGGTGTCCAGCCAGTGACTGTGGAGAAAACCTAAAACACGGAGCTGAGCCAAGTACCCCACATGCCCCTGTCTTTCTAGGTCCCTTTCATTGTTATGTGTGGGAGCTTAAATTGTGTTCACATGATTCTTGACCATTTCAGAGTGCATTCTGATCTGATACTACATTGAGACATGTCTGTGAACTGGGAGTCTTCATCTATGAATCCGGTTTTATTCTTTTATAGCACATATTATTTTATTCTTTTATAAAACACTTTTATTTTATTCTTTATAGCACATTTAAACAGTCTTCTTGGAAAAAAAAATTAATGTGGCTTTGCTTGGGATGTATAGCTTTTTCCCAAAACAAAGCTCTCAGATGGAGAGACTTGGCAGAGATTCCAAAGCAATTTGATGTAACTGCAAAATGGTAACCTCCTTTAATTATTAATTAAGCAATTAATAATGTATTGATTGTTTAATTATAAAGTAATTATAAATAAATTGTATATAAATAATTTATATTTACATAAATACATTAAGTATAAATAAATCATGTGTAAATGAAATGCTAAGTGGATTATTTAATTACCACAGGCACACATGTACAGCATGTGGGAGGAGCACGGAGCTGGTGGGACAACACTGCCAGGCTCTGCTCACACCGGCTGCAGGGCCTGGGCAGGTCTCCAGGCCCACCGGACATGGCTTCCTCCTCCTGAAGTGGGAGTGGTGGATTCTTGGCAGACTAGATAATGTACGGGAAAGTGCGTGGTACGCTCTAAAAAGTGTTACATTTGTACTGGTAACCATGATCAGGATTATCGCCTGTGAAATGTGATCGAGGAAGTAGGCAAGGGCATAAAAAAGACACAAGGTCCACTTTCTTGTTAGAATGCAGCATTCGCTCTAAAAAGTGTTACATTTGTACTGGTAACCATGATCAGGATTATCGCCTGTGAAATGTGATTGAGGAAGTAGGCAAGGGCATAAAAAAGACACAAGGTCCACTTTCTTGTTAGAATGCAGCATTTTATATTACGGCACGACAAATGTAGCCAGGTGTACCTGTGTGTTTGCATATACCACATACATCAGGGGTAAAACAAAATGAACCCTGTGATAGCTGGAAAATGAATATGATCTGCTTTTTGCAGGATACAAGACCCTTCTGAAAGGAATTTCTGGGAAGTTCAACAGCGGAGAGCTGGTGGCCATCATGGGTCCTTCTGGGGCTGGGAAGTCCACGCTCATGAACATTTTGGCCGGATACAGGTGAGAGGATACAGAAAGCTGGGAAGATGCAGGGAGGGAGGCCCTCCTCTGGGGCACCCCCTCCCCAGGCTTTGGAGGTAAGGAGCAGAAGAGGGGGTGAAGGCTTCCCCTCTCCTTGGTCTTGCAGGGAGACCGGAATGAAAGGGGCAGTCCTCATCAACGGCCTGCCCCGGGACCTGCGCTGCTTCCGGAAGGTGTCCTGCTACATCATGCAGGATGACATGTTGCTGCCACACCTCACCGTGCACGAGGCCATGATGGTGAGCCCTCCCGCCCCTTGCACTGGACAGAGCACTTGCCAGGCCACCTGCATGCAGTTAGCAACCACCCCCCGGCCCCCAGTGGGGTTCCAGTGCCAACGCCAGGCTTGCGGTCAGGACAGCTTCATAACACAAACCCCCAAGACCACGAGTTCTAACGGACCTTGTCTGTCAGTGTTGTGGTCAAGTTTCTGAGAAGGTTATTGCTCAACCAACGTGGGTGATCATTTCAGGGCAACCACAATCCTATTCTATTCACCATGGGCCGAGACTTTCCTTCCATCAGCCACCCTCAAGTCTTCCTGTGTCTTTGGCCAAATCCCAGCTCACTTGGTGCCTTGGTTAGGGCCCCAAGGATCTCATCTCCGATTCACCTGCCTGCCAGGTGGGGGAATGAAACCAGCACCTGCCGGGTCCCGGGCCCTGCGTGCATGCAGCTCTGCACAGTCACCAGATACATAATCTCAGGGAAGCAGATGTGAGGCTTGGCCTCCGAGGGTTGAGCAGGGAGCCCAGGGTCTCACGGGTGCTGACCGCCACGTGGGGACTCAGAGGCCGACCTCTCTGACTGCAGAGGGTCACCCTTAATTGCCAAGCTCGACATCCTTGCCATGCAGTTGCTTTACCTCCACAGCCTCAGTTTCCTCATCTGCAAGACCGTGCAGGGTTGGTCTGAATAATGGATGGGATGATGCCGGGAAGGCAGGGAAGAATCCCGGCATAGAGTTGGTGCTCAGTCAATTCCCGCTGTTAGTACAACTCGGTCAGTTTCTTTTCACTCCTAATAAGTCCTCCCACAGTGTCTTCACTGAAGTCCTCTGTGGATAAGTCAAGTAATTTGGAGTTTAACAGTACTTTGGAGTTTAAAAATACCTCCTCCTCTTGTGGTCACAGAAGCACCCAGGTAGTGTCCTATACAGTGGGTTTCCGGAACAGCCTGGCTGCGCTTTTTGAACACACCACAACCCAGCCAAGTGCCTGACTCTGGGCTTCGAGGGCCATTTTTAAGGAAGCTCACCCCACAGGGACTGAGACCACACTGACCGAGTTGTACTAACAGCGGGAATTGACTGAGCACCAACTCTATGCCGGGATTCTTCCCTGCCTTCCCGGCATCATCCCATCCATTATTCAG